AAAACTCTTAAACCCATATAGCGAGTAATTTTAGCCTAATTGAAGTTTAGACTTTAATTCTAGAAATAAATGACAAGTCCATCCCTTTAGCTTGGATATAAATCACTAAGTCCATTGGAAAGTCTTTAAGCATATAGCCGACTTCTATAATTATATCATAATTGCACGAGTGATATTATCGAGTGGCATGATAGGAATCAAAGAAATCTAAAGAAGAAACAATATAGTTTGTTGCTCCAAGTATCTACTATCCAAATAAGCATTAGATGTAAAATTCATATCAATTGTATTTAAAAGATTGTTACTTATAACATTCGACACTAAAGAAGGATTAGATGATGAAGCCAATTGTGAAAATGATGCTAACAAATTTTGCTCATTGAGAATTATCATGAGCTTTTGAATCCGATTCTCTATTAAGGATATTTATACGTAAGTACCACTTGAATTTGCGGTATCCTAGACTTTTGGACTAACAATACTAGTTACATTGTTAACTATATAAGGATAAGCGAGACTTATTCTTAGTGAATTTAAAATTAATTGGGAATTCAATCGAGTCACATCATTTATTCTTCATATGTCCAACTTTACCATAATAGTTACATATGGCATCGGTCTTAAATCTTCTCTTAAAATTGACTACTGCTACCATGGCTAAATTATAAATAAAAGACCACTCATAACTTGTAGTTGTTTCTAATTTTCTTCTCGTAAAGGAAGATTGTAAACTTCATCTAAACTAGGAAATATTTCATGACTAGGATTTGAGACTTGAGAGCTGAATATATCTCACAAGTCCATTGATGAACCTAAAAGCATGATCCTTTTGTTGCATATTCATAAATTTCTAAAAACATTTATCATTATAGCTACCATATGAATAATGAGGTAAAAGCCTATGATTCCTCAATTCTTCCTAAACATCATTCAATTACGTGAAATATTCATCAAGCTGATTGGTCCTCGAGAGATTATGCATGGTGACATTTGCAAGTTACAAATCCTTGCATCATCAAGCTATGAAAATCTTTTCTTTAAAGTCTCCTAAATCTTAGAAGTAGAATCAATGTAGAATACGGTAGAAGCAATCATACGTGAAATAGACCTCAATAACTAAGCAACAATCCAGTTATTACATCGTGTCCAAGCACTATATAGAAGATTATTAGCTCTAGGTGGTTTAATCGATCCATCCACAAATCAATTTTATTTTTAATTGAAAAAGCCGGTAAGAATGATCTACTCCAAGTATCATAGTTGCTAGATGTAAGTTTAGGAGAAACTATCATAGATCCATGATGATTAGAATGGTGTAAAAAATACGATAATGAAAGACCTTCTAATGGTGAGATTGCGTTTGAATTAGATGAAAAATCTACTATTCTTACTCTTATAGCCATTGATGAACTCTTAGTAAGATTTTTATGGAAAAATAACGAAGTAGAAAGATCGACCTAGATTTGATGAAATCAAACTAGTCAGAAGATGATAATGATGATGATGAACACAACTGAAGCTTGTTACTCTAGATCTTTCTCAGCTCTAATGTCATGTTAAAGTTAAGAAGCAAAAGAAGAAAAAGCGGATGAAGAAGAAAAATTGAGTTTGAACTCACTCTCTCTAACAAAGAGAGAGACACTAAAGCGAAAAAGAGAGAAAGAGGGAGAAAAGCAAATTTGAATTTTACTTCTTTTATTGATATAAATAATTGTTCACACATGGGGTGTGTATGAATGTATGTATTACAAACTAACCAATCTAACTAAAATGACTAATAGATTATTTTTAGTTTCAACTAACTTAATTAACCAACTATTTTCTTTCTTTATAAAGTTTGCAACGAGATTCGAGAACCAATATTCTCTTTGAAATTCAAGCCAATTGAGGGTTGTGTTGTATTTCATGCAGGGAAACAAGGTAGAGGGTTCTCTAAGGGAGAAGCAAATATTGCCAAAATCAATGTCTAAGAGAATAGCTCTCTATGACTTGCAAACATACCTACATTCCTTTAAAAGCATTGCGATTGGGAGTTAGTCTAAAATGTCCCTAAGAATAAGGTCCGAGTCCTAATATGTAGCATTCGGTGGCTTCCGGATGCTGATTCTTGTTCCGGGATGAAGCATTTATAGTGGAGGGTAGAAGGCGAAGACACGGTGGCTCCATTAAGGTGTTTTTTGTTGGTCTAGGGTTCTCGATCTTCTTACTCTTTTTATATGTGGCTTCGTTTTGTTTTGTTCCTTTTAGAGAGGAGATGCGGAAATAGGTAAAACTATCTCAACACTCGTACGTTGTCTGCGGGTAAGTTTATTATATTTATGTTTTAATATTTTAAATAATTTAAAAATATAAATGTAAAATAAAAATTAATTAACACTCATTATAATATATATATATATATATATATATAATTGAATTTAAATATTTCTTAGGAATATTTTTTATTTTGATAGATAAAAAATACATGCTATTAATTATTTATTTATTTTAAAAATCCAATTAGAAGGAGGTGTTTAATCCATTTATATTCGAAGAATATTTAATTTTAGTTCATACATATTTATAAAAATAGAAAAAGTAACCATTGATCATGAAAAAAAAATTATTTTGATTAAATAATAATTAATGAAAAAACCTAGGCCAAAAAAAAAATGATAGAGACCTTTTGGTAATATTAATGAAAATTAAGGACTATTTTATATAAAGTAATAACTTAGAGGACCAAAGTGTAAAATTCGACAAATTAATAAAAAAATCTTTTTTTTTTTTTGGGAAAACAACGTCATTTTGAGTCTAAAAGATACAAAACGACATCGTTTTGGTTTCACCGTAGCGAGGGCTTAGCTACGGTGAAACCTTATTTGCTTTTAGTATATGTAATAATAATACTATTAACCTTTTGGATAAGAAGATTTTAGGATCATGACTAAACAGATAGAAAACCAAAAGGAACATTAAGGCTACAAATATTATTTATTTATTTTTACTTAACTCTATTATGAATAACAAGTCATTTTAGTAACGGAAAAACTATCTAATAAATTCATTATTTTTAATTTTTTTCTCAATAAAACATATTAATTTTTATTTTTTTATTTCAATATATCAATTTTTTAAAAAATACCAATCAATTTCTTTCGTCTAATTTTCGGTATAGCAATGATGTTGTAATCAAAAGAGAATAGTAAATGATTATATTAAGAGTAAATGATTATATTGTTTTTTGTCTCTCAAAGTGTTATTGCTATTAATTTAAAAAAGCAAAAAAAAAAAAAAAAAAAAGCAAAGCCACTGTCAAGCATGAGTGATATATATATATCAAGCGGTATTAAATTTTAAATTTTTTGTCTTTGTTTAATATGGTCAACTCCTCTAACGAATCAAACCCATAGTAGCAACTTGATTCAAACGCAATCAGATACTATCACAGTAATGAATAAACTCAATAAAATTTTATTTATACATTAGCAGTAAAACTTCAGATCTTTTGAATGCAACCGACATCATGTTTTGACTTAATGTAATTGATAATTCGTACTGCCATGTCCATTTATTTACTTCTGTTCCTTTTGTGTCAAAATAACCTTTTTCTTTATTATTAAAAAAAATTGTGTTAAAATATTGAATACTATACCTAATATTTTAAAAAATTAATTAATAAAATATTGAATGTATGGCTTATGTTGAAAAAAAAAAAAAAAAAAGCATATCGCAGTTTATGAAACAGTTCAAAGCAGCTTCAAAGTTCCCATTGGATGTTATTATTGTTTAATAGATACAACAAAAGACCAACTATTGTCTTTTGTTTCTTTCTTAACGTGCTTTATTAGCCTTAAATGTTCTTTAAAAAGTACATTAAATTCTTACAAACGGCTCTCAACCTTTCGGGGATATGTATATGTTCTTTCTGCCATTTTATACACACAACATTTTTGCATTCTTTAGTCTAATAATATACGTATTTCTTTTTTGCTTACGTATTCTATAGTCTTTCATTAAAAAAATTCATACTATTTTAATTTTTTTCTTTTTTAATATATTACATATTCGGATAAAAGTAATAATATTTTATTTTTGAGTTTCAAAGTTTATAAACAGTGCAAAATATCACTATCCTGTTTTAATCTTGCAACTTGGCCCCTGTTGATGGGCATCAAATCAATAGTAGCCCATCAATAGGGCCCAAGTTGCCCACGACCAGCCAACCAAAACATGCCACGTCGCCATCCTTTTTCTCTCCAGCTTCAACGGCAAACTCCAAATACGTTTTTCATGAGAAACTGATTTTTTTTTTTTTCGATGTTAACTAAAAGATGACTTGTCAGAAAAAACCAATTTCTCATCTAAAAACTGAGTCTGATAATCAAAGACAGAGAAGAAGAAGACGACGACGACGACGACAATGTATGTCCTAATTGGTTGGTTTTGCTGCGTGGCCACTCCTAATTGGCTACTTTGATTTTTATTTTTATTTTTTGTTTTCAATTTTTTTATGATATTAATACCGGCTGTGGATCTCACATATGTGAAAAAATTAATTTTTTTTGTTTGGACTGCGCATAAAAATGATTGATTTTAAAAAAATTATGCTCAATTGATTAAAATTAAAAACAAAGTCGTTGAGTCGACCTAATTTAAAATACAAGAAGTTATTTAACGAATTTATAAAAATACATGTTGCAATTAATGGGTTTTGTCCAATGTTATCAATTAAAACGAAGAAAAAGGTACAGCTAACTTGCCCACGTGGCATGGCTAAGCAAAAGCCAGCAAAAACCGAGGGCCGCCTACTCACGCACGCACGCAGAGTCGCATAAACAAAGCGAGAGGACCCACACCATCGGTTAATTTTTCTTTTTAATTTCCTTTCTGCCATTTTATTTTACTACTATTACTCTGCAATCCTCATCTCATCTCATCTGATAGTCAATCTATCCCTGACATAATAATAGATATTGTAGTATTATAATCAAAAGAATAGATTGTGAAGAAGAGAGAAAATGACTCGAGGAAAGCAGAAGATCGAAGCTCAGAGGAAAAATGCAGAAAGGAATCAGAAAGCTAAGGGTTCGCAGCTGGAAGCCCGAGCTGTTGCCCTCAAAGTTACCTGCCCCATCTGTAAGGTCATAATATAATTACTTTACTCTCTCCTTTTCTTTTCTTTCTTATCATCATCAGTTTTAATTTTTCAATAGGATCTGCCCTTTTTAATTGTTGGGATGATTTTAAATTGTGGGTCGTGTTTGTTTTTGTTGAAACTAACTCTTCGTAAATTTTGGGTGTTTTTTTTCTATCGTTAAAGATTGTGAGTGTCTTTTTCAGTTTTCTATCTTTTGGTGCGTTTTCGAGAACATGGTATGGGCTTGAAATTATATTTGTTTAGTATAAACAAGACGTTGGGCGGGGGAGGGGGTTAATGATATTGTAAACCCTATTATCTGATGGAGAGCTCCCCAAGTTATTTATTTATTTATTATTATTATTATTATTATTATTTACCAAAAACACACTTAAGAAGATATAAAGATGAACTTGAAGAGATGAGATGGTGTTAGATTATTTGGCCTTTTGTTTTTGTGTCATTAGCTTGTATAACAATTTTTCTTGGAACGGTTTTGATTTCTGTGTGTATTTAGTTTTTTCTCTTATTCTGGCAGCTTCGGTTGAAAATCCTTTTACAAGCTTGTCTTTGGTTATTTAAAAAACCATCTGGTCAAGACAAGATTTTGAATCTGATTCAAGATAAGCAACTTTTAATATTTTAAAGGATTTGATTGCGTGTTTAGGATGCAACCAAGTCAACGATTTGATGCTTTAAAAACTATGATATTTGAGGAACTTAAACTTGTGTTTTGGATTGAGTTTTGAAAGCCATGGTTTTAAGGGTCTTGAAATTCCAAACCATAATTTTTAGAAAAGGCCTATTTGGGATTTTTGAGCCTGCATTTTAGCTTGAAAAACTCAACCACAATCCCTAACGCAGACTTGCTAAATTATAAAGTGTGTTCTTGTCAAGAAAATGTCTGCATATCCCTTGTTTTGGTTTTTATAAAATCTGTTCCTTTTTATTTGATAAACCATGTGTTTGTGGGGTGGTTACAGGCCCGTTTATGGAAAACGACTGGTCTTTTACTCAAAACTGCAATTCTATGAAAATAGTAGGCATTTAATGGCCGGTGCACATTATTAGTCATATCTTTGACAGAGACGATAGGAAATCTAGTCAAGATTTAGCGTCGGTGTGTAGTTTTGGGATTTAATGATCAGTGCTTAACCTGAGATCAGATCTGAAGGACAGTATAATTGCCCCATTAGCAGTTCTTCATGAGAGTGTTCTTTTGCACATCAATCCTTTTCAAATTTCTTTATTAAAAGCAATTTCTAAGAATCTTAGTTTTGCCAATTCATTTATGGTAGCTATTATCGATCTTTGTGCTTTTGTTTCATAGATTTGATATATACTAAACATATGTTGCATTTTGACTTTCAGGTTCAACTAGCGAATAGTAATCAACTAGGGGATCACTATGCCTCCAAACATCCAAAAGAGAAGCCTCCTGCTGAATCGAGCTGATTTATTTTGGTCACGGATGTAAAAATTCAAGTGTGTTCAGAACTGTCAAAGCAGTATGTCAATGGATGTGTGTGACTGTTTTGTCGGGAAACACTTGCTCGTTTTAAGCATGTTTTGAATAAATTTTAATGATGAAACAGCTAGTTTTTGGTTGACACGGTAGCTCAGTAACTAAAGACTACATGCGAAGAGAGATAGAGAGTCCTAAAAGACTTCTATTCTTCTTCTCTTTTGCCCTCTCTCTCTATCTCTGTTTTTTTTTTTTTTTTTTCGTTTATGTGTTTCATATATATATATATTTTCCCGTTAATGGGTTTCGTATGGAAGATCTTTACCGTATCTTATTTTTACTTTTTTGCTTGATACTTCAGTATGCTCCTTTCTCTCGGTTAGCTTTGGAAGGAAATACTTGGTTCATTTTAAACATGTTTTGAATAGATCATAAACAAATGAGTTGTATGCAATAAAACAACTTACAAATGTATGTTAAGAGAAGCAAGGCGGTCCTAAAAGAACCCTAATTCTTTTTGCTCTTTTGCCTTCCACTTTGCTATACTCCCTCTCTCTGTTTTCTTTTTCTTTTTCCTCCCTTTTGGTTTATGGGTTTCATATCAAGATCTTTATCGTGTCTTTAATCAGAGTAAAACCAATGAATTTCAGCTCTCTTTTTTGAATTCTGATCTACGTGAACAAAAATTTGGAAACAAGAAAAAACGGAACGGAGGTAAGATTGAAATTTATGAAATCGAAGAGGAAGTGGGGAGATGAAAAATGAAGGGAAGGAAAAAGTAAAATAAACAGAATGGGTGAAAGTTTTGAGATAAAAGAAAAAACCATTTTGATGTTCATATTTGGTTGACTGCTTTAATCTAGAGAATTGGAAACAAATTCTATTTTTTCCGTACGATGTGAAGGTGATACACCATGGATCAAAAAATAAAGGAAAGTAGACGGAGAATCCTTATTTTTAGGTGGGTGGAATTTAACAAGAATGAAAGATGATTTACTTTTAAATTTAATATTGTTGTGATGTGAATGTCATAAATCAATTATTTAAAAACCCACAAATTAAATGAACAACTGATGTAAACCCCATAAATCAAATATTTAGAAGCTCACGAATAAGATGTATAACCGATGCGAACCACGTAAATCAAGTATTTAGGAACCAATAAACAAGATGAATCACACTAATGTGAATCTCGTAATCGTTTGATCATGAAGGCTTTGATATTATTTCAAAGAATCATTTTATTTAAAAGCTTAAACTCGTTAGGTGAAGTCCTAGGATATAATTTACATTATTTTCTAACAAATCATTTCCAAGAAAGCTAAATCAGATTTTTAAGCACATAAACCTTGAATCAAACCTATAAAAGAGACACGAATCAAAAGTATAGGAAGGATATTTACGCTGCTCTCCAGAAAAGATGAGAATGAAAGTGATAGATCATGTCAAGAATTAATATATTCTTGATAAGTTTTGAATGAAGTGCAATGAAGAATCCTAAAGAGATAGACTCTAAAAATCTATTTTTTTTTCATTCTTCTTTTAGTAAAAGAACAAGCCTCCTTTTTTGAGCTAAAGAGATACACATAAATACCCACCACTAAAATATATGAGAGAATCAAACTGTCCTAATTCTTAGTTATATCATAATTAGAAAAACAATTCAAATCCTCAGTTTATTGAAAATAATTAAATAAGTCCTATGAAATTGGGATTCATAATTTAGATAAAATGGGAAGAAATAAAACTGATTATTCAGCAAATAATCTAATAAAACTAACACAGCTTTAGCTTACTTTGTTCTCGTCATGTTGAATACAAAGAAGGAAGTTAGAAAATGGTTAGTTTCCTCTCTTCAACCAAGAAAACTGGCTCAACTTTTCTTCCATGCTTTGTCAATAAGTGAACCTGGCAAAGCTTCCAATTATTAAAAAAATTATTATTATTTAATTGCAAGAAAAAAATAGTATATATTTTTTTTATGTTGATTTAGTAAAGGACAGACTAAACGACTATTGGCCAATTTAGTTTGCTCGGGCAGTAGTAATTTAAAAGGGATAGAATATAATGACCTTTACAACATTGCAAACTTCATCCAGCTTAATGGAATTTTTTTGTCACTAAAGAATTGCAATTTTGGCACATCAAACTTATTGATTCATAAAAACGCAATTGGGTCCCAAGATTTTTCTATTTTTTTTTTTTTTGGAAGCTAAATAGGTCCTTGCGTTCTAACATATTAACTTGGAACGTTAAAGTTCAAATTAAAGTGTTTTGTGGTACACGCCCGTGTGCTTGGTGGTCTTAAAGGACAATGGAAGCAATGATTATTGACCATTGACATCTTACACGATGCTTTTTAATTACGAAACCCATGCCTCATTTATTGAAACCATACGTCATAGAGCGCAAAATAATAATAATTAATTATTATTATGTGTGCTCAATTTATTTATGACTATATCTTATGCGTTCTTAACACTTTTCAATCTCAAAAAAATACCTATCATATACATATATCAATTTCTATTATTCTGATATTCAGTATTATATTTCGATGTGTAAAAAATTAGTATAATTTTAAGAAAACAAGTCATTTGGGATACACCATGGACAATATTATAAAATAATATAGGAATTAATTGAAAAGTTTTAGAAAAAACTAAAATTAGAAATATTTTTTAAGGAAGCACTTAAGAATTTTCTTTCTTTTTTCTCTTTTTTTTTTTTTTTTTTTTTTTTGAAAAAACTAGATAACAAGTACATCAATTTTGAACTTTTTCTCAATTGAGTAAATTAGCTTTTATTTTTTTATTTTAGTATATTATTTTTTTCAAAAATATCAATAAAGTTTTTATATCTAATTTTTCATCTAATGATAATGTGACGAGTTAGTAGAAAAAACTAAATGATTATATTACCTTTTTTCTCCTCTCAAATTATTATTATTATTTTAATTATTAATTAAAAATACGAAAGCAAAACAAAGCACTTAATTTTAAAAAAGAAGAAGAAGAAGAAGAAAATAGAGCAGCTACTTTGTTTTTTTTTAATAATTAAATAATAGTAACAATTTGATAGGAGAAAAGAAAAAGAAGGATAACGCAATCATTTAGTTTTTCCGTTAACTACCACATATTAGTAGATGAAAAATTAAACTCGAAAAAATTGATTCATATTTTTAAAAAAATTAATATACTAAAAAAAAATTAATACATTCGTTTAAAAAAATATTCAAAATTGATATTCTTATTATATATTTCTTTTTTCTTTTGGACAAAGGATGTGTCATTTACTCGTGGACGATGCACGGTGTCACGAGGTCAAATTTCGTCACAATTTCAACCCAGTCATGGCAGCTTAGTCCCCCTAGACTTCAGCTTTTTTCCTCCCAATTTGCTTTCGTGTTTGGCCTACTAACTATGGTGTTTCACACACCCAAAAGGCTTTCCCCGAAGTCCCGTAAATAACATGCAACACACTACAATAGACAAGAGTAAATCAAAGTTTGCACATAATATTACAGGAAAACTCCTAACCTTTTATTAACCAAGTAACAAAGGAATACACTTTGATTTTAGTGTCTCTATGCAAAGCACATCCCCTCTCCTTTTTATCACAAATGATCATTAGAAGTTACATAGGAACCGTTATCTAATTTATCCCTATGAATCCGGGACAGATTGGCCGGAGACAAGTAATCGTCGATAACGACCTCTCGATAACTACCCCTTCCGGAACTTCCTTTGGCTCGCCACCCTACGTACCTTTTAGTCACTCGACCGAGTCTTCTCTCCTAGCTCGTCGTGTTCCTATGCAACTTGGACAACCCTCTATCCAAGTCCGAAGTCGTGCCGAACATGAACCCGCCGTTTGTACGTACTCGTTATACATCGTCGCCGAATCCGCAAGGCCCATGCAAGCTACCCTTACCCATACAAGCTACCAAGATCCCAACAATGTTATCCTCGGCGCCACCCCGCGCCTAGGACTATGACAAACCACCCTCACCGAAAGGTCTAACGCCCTCGTCGGAATTGAAGCGAGGTATTCTTGCACCTTCTCTTCAAATTGCCACAAGTCGGTGTCCTTCTCTCACAAAACCTCTCCGTTTTTAGCCCATTTTACTAAAAACTCGTTCGTTGATTCTTCTTATGTTGACCAAGTCGACGATGATCCGGAATCTTGACAATCCCATCGTCAACCGCTTCGGACCATTAGAGGAGCTCTTTTTGACTTGTTTTTTTCCGAGTCCTCATGGTCTTCATAGTAAGTGTTCAAATAACTCACATGAAATGTAGGGTGGAGTTTCAAGTGTTCGAGCAAAACCGACTCTATAAGCCATAGCTCTCACATTTTTTCTAATTTCGAAAGGTCCCTCATATTTTGAAATCGACCCTGCTCGCATCAATCTGCAGTGATTTTCTTCCAAATTTAAGGTGTCAATTTGAGCAACACCTTGTCACCCACATCAAACTCTAAGGGTCTCGTTTTCAAGTCGGCATACTTCTTCACTCGCTTGTTGGCCTTCCGCAAGCCGTCTTGGGCTCGAGTTAACAACTCCCGCCTCTCCAACGCAAATTGGTATGCTCGCTGGACTTTTTCCACTAGATTTTTATACCGAGATCTCTTAGGGAGTTTGGGGCTGCATCCCTAGCACCAACTCAAACGGACTTGCCTCCGTCGCGAGATGACTTGTGGAGGTTGTAGCAAAACCAAACACTATCCAAGTAACTCTAGCCAATTTCGTTGTGTTGCTATCACATAATGCCGTAAGTACTCCTTCAAAAAGGCATTAATCCTCTCCGTTTACCCATCAATTTTATGGATGATTGGCGATAAAGAACTTCAACTGCGTCCTAATCATTTTAAACAAGGTTGTCCGTAATTGACCCGTGAAACGTGCATCACGATCGCCGACGATGTCCGATGGCACCCTAAAGTACTTCACCACATTTTGGTAGAAAATCCTAGCGACCACATTCGTTAT